CAGACATGTTCATTTCCATATTCCCAGAAGAAGCATCACAAGGAATGCGAGCCATTCATTAGGAACCTTGGAATGCACATGAATATAATTGCTGAAATGATCAGTATAGCATGACATTTTAATATTATAGACACATTTTACAAAGTTCATATGCTCTAAAATTGTAATAATGTCGTTTTTATAATGGCTTACATTGCGCTCTGTATCATCTGACTTTAAAGCCAGTCTGATTTTTTATAACTGGTACTATATATGTGTTTACTTAATTAAGCTGACCATATGCTTACAATTCTTTCTTCAGTTAAAATATAAGATCTAAAAATTAATCCCCCCCTAATTATCTACAAGGCTCTTAAAGTGACATTAAACCCTCAGATTTTTTTACATAAAACAATACTGTTATGCGTGCCTTACCATGGTAGTTTCCCTTCTCTTTGCTGCTCTTCCTTTTAAATACTCATGTCTTCTCATGCTGGGGGAGAACTTCCCTTTGCAGCTCAGGGCCACTTCCTGTAGTGCTGGCTCAGGTTGTGAACCTTCACACAGACACCATGTATCCATTCCAGAGACAAGGCAGTCTGCTGCAAAACAGAAGTTCTGCCCAGCATGAGAACATATGCAGATTTAAAAGGAAGAGCAGCAAAGAGAAGGGAAACTACCATGGATTACAGCAAGGCACACATTACAGTATTGTTATATGTTACAAAATCTGAGGGTTTAATGTCACTTTAAGGTTTTTCTCCTCTGTATATTAAACTTCAGAAAGGAATTTTTCAAAGTTTCAAGATGGATGATATAGACTATCGGTACTCATCCTTTGTGAGACCAGGGCATGGCAAATCCTTTCCTTCCATGCCCCAAGAGTAAAAAAAATCAAAACAAAGCAAAAAACAGTTCATGCACCTACATCCGCAATTATATCAGCCAGAAGAGGCTTAACAAGCTGGAACAACATAATGTACAATGCTGCCATAGCTGTGTTAAGCCGCAACATCACATTATACATACTACCCAACTCTAGAATGAATGACACATGAGTGTAAAGATAAAATGCGGCCGCAGCGAAAATCGGACATAGGTTAATTGCGCTGAATATTGGGCGTGGCTTAAAGGAGTGAAGTTTAAAAGGTCCCGAGTCTGCTTCCAATAAATGTTGGACAGTGTGACAGTGTAAGAAGAGGGATGCAGGGGGTGCAGAGGTAAACAGTGCAGGAAGAGGTATGCGGGGGGTGAAGGAATGTATATGCAGGTGGGGCTTGTATGTGGGTGGAGCACAAAGGGGCCCCATACTCTCGTATTGCCCGGGGGCCCCGTGTGTTGTCAGTCCGCCCCTGCTGTGGTGCAACTTCAAATCTCATGAGGCATTTCAAGTCTCTGACAGCCACAGACATTACTCCCAGAGGCAGTTGCGTGATGGGATTTGTAGTTTCACCATAGCTGGAGGGACGGAGTTTGCCCACCTCCAGCCTAGGATCAATTTTGCATCTCTGGCTGGTGCTGCGAGGGTGGAGTGGCATCTGAAGGGATTCTCTGTGTTTCTTGCTAAAGTCAAAAGGAGTAGGGTCTTTCCTAATAGAATTAGGGCTAGTGTAAATGGGCTGTTCAGATATGTTTGCCTTGCATCTACATTGACTTGTATGAAGTAATACAAGCAAAGTTTAATCTGCAAGATTTTAATGGCTGGGCAGTCTAGTCCAAGATGTCTCACTGAATTGGGCACAGGTTGATTTCCCCTATATTCCTGTTCTAATGAAAACTCAAAATTTGGGATTTTGCCTCACGTTTAGTCCCAGTGACAGTGGGTACCAGGACAAAGCAAGAGTACATTTCCCTAGCAGGGACACACAGCAATAAAAAGCAGGTGTTCTAACCTCTCACCACTCTATTCAATAGCTTAAAAAAAAAAAAAAGGTTTGGCTTTAGGTACACTTTTCCTAATCTCAAAATCCGGAGTACTGTAGACCTTAGCAAGTTGTTTCAAGACATGGGTATATCTCTAGGATGGACTCATGCGTATATCTCTAGGAAGGAATCCGCATTTCAGTACCCTTTCTCTTTACCTTATGGTATGGCTGCAAAAACACTGGCAACGTTGGCAAGAGTGTCTGCCTCAGCCTTTGTAGGCTGCACTCCCCATCTCCTGGCACACAGATTTTGTTTATATTGTCTAAGCTGGCACCAGCTTTCAGTACGTCACTAGAATGGCATATGTTGAACGCCCCAAATTTAATGCATGTAAGATCTGAGTTTTGTTCTTTGGATGCAGTGCTGCCGTTGTTCAGACAGTTGTTGTCAAGATGGACGCAGATTGCAACTGTGAACTGAGGCGGGCAGACATCTCAACGTTCCCGGATGTTCGGGGAGTCTCCCGCTATTAGATAGCGGCTCGCGGACACCCGGGAGAGAAACATTTTGTCCTGGAAAGGTTTACTCTGCTGGATCTAGCAGAGTAAACCTTTCCGTGCTGTCTTTTTTTTTTTTTTTTGATATTGGGGGCGCCGGCAGTCAGA